AATACGTAAAATGTTGTAAATTGTTCCTACAACATCTAAAATGTTGTAAATTATCTAAAATGTTGTACAAGAAAAACTGCAATACAAAAGACAAAGTAGAAGTTGTCATGGTCATCTTGATCACTCGACCTAGGATCCGCTGTCACCTGCATGCCTACAAACAAACAAAATCATATCAGTTAATTTTTACTATTATACTAATTCTTTTTTAATCATCTATTTTATTAATTAATATGTTTTCATGCAACGCCGAGATGAACTGTGAATTACTATAATTAACACCTTACCCACTGGACCCTCCATCGTGTCTTGATGATCTCTTCGCACATGTGGCCCTATTATGGTCGGTTTGGTGGCATTTTGTAACACTTGAGATTTAATATAAACGGATTAATAGTACTACTCATACCAACAGAGGTGCATCTCCTTTTAAGGGAGCTCATCACCCAAGAACTCCAAAGTTAAGCGTGCTTGCATGGGAGTAGTCTTGGGATGGGTGACCCCCTGGGAAGTTTCTCAGGGCGCGCATGAGTGAGGACAAAGTGTGCGGTAAAGGCTCGTGGTGGTTTGTGAGGACAGTACTAGAGGTCAGAAGTAACTACCTCGGGGCCTACGAGGCCGGGGTGTTACAGGTGGTATCAGAGCAACCCCGCGACAGTGTGATGACCCGTTGGATATCGGGCGGGCACCTAGCGGGGGAAGATTCTGGGATATGATTTGATTGAGATTTGAGATTGGTTCAAGGACGCAACGAGGACGTTGCGATCCTAAAGTGGGGGTGATTGTAAGACTTGAGATTTAATATAAACGGATTAATAGTACTACTCATACCAACAGAGGTGCATCTCCTTTTAAGGGAGCTCATCACCCAAGAACTCCAAAGTTAAGCGTGCTTGCACGGGAATAGTCTTGGGATGGGTGACCCCCTGGGAAGTTTCTCAGGGCGCGCATGAGTGAGGACAAAGTGTGCGGTAAAGGCTCGTGGTGGTTTGTGAGGACAGTACTAGAGGTCATAAGTAACTACCTCGAGGCCTACGAGGCCGGGGTGTTACACATTTTCCACATCTAACCGTTCCTCGAGGACCTTCATCCATCTCATTCTTAATACGTGTCGACTTAGGTCTTCCCTTAGCCCGAAACATGGATGGATCGTGCACGTTTTCAGGTCCATTGTAAGTAGGCCAATAATCACAATCAGGAATGAGTTTGAAGACTCTATGATATGTGGCCGCGTATTGGTCAGATGAGAAAAACTTATCCACAAATGGAGCATAAGACAAGCTACGTTGTCTGCACACGACTAACACATGGGAGCATGGAATCTTATATATCTCCATCATTTTACAAATGCAAGTTTTCCGTTTCAGATGGACAGTTTGTTTTCTCCCACCCTTCCCCAACGTTCGGCCACCACAACCGGTTTCCACTTGAAATAACCCTCGACCTAAATCAAATGGAGTAACTATGTGATGATTGGCCTTCTCTCTATTCTTATCAATTAAATATGTGATGTATGAGGAGTACTCGTGGCCTTCTGTCACTCTCATTTTACTGGTTTCACGCCTATTAACAAAATAAGCATTAACCCGGTAAAAGGAAACCTGGACCAAGCGGTGATGGGCAAATATCTAGCATTTTTTATCACGCTGTTGAAAACCTTTGCCAGATTAGAAGTGATGGTACCGTATCTGTACCCGCCATCGTGGTGCAATGACCACATTTCCGGGGGAATGTTCCCCAGAAATTGTCGTGCCACCAAACTCATTTCACCTATCTTCTTGAATCCACCATCAAACTTCTTTTTCTGATGTTGCCGTGCGGTCCAGACAAAAAGATTTTTTAGATGAATGTCTTTGAAATGAGTGTGCACATTCGATGCAAGATGGCGGATACATAGCCTATGATGCGCATACGGCTCCTCCCAAGTACTGCCCACCTCATTCATTGCCCTGACAATACCTCCATGCCGATCAGAACTGACACACAACTCCTGATTAGTGACAAACTGCCTAATACATGCCATAAACCATGGCCAACTATCCCCATTCTCAGATTCAACAACTGCAAAGGCCACTGTAAATATTTGGTTGTTCGCATCACAACCCATGCCCACGAGCAGTGTACCCTTGTACTTTCCATACAAGTGTGTGCCATCAATAGTAAGTACAGGTCGACAATGCTTAAAACCATGTAAACCTTTTCTCACCTGATCCACTCAGCCACGCATCAATAAAGCCTTCAGGGAGATCATACATTCTAGTAAAGTGGGTAGATGGGACAGTTGCCGTGACCGTATCACCATCATCTTCATCAGATTCTGTCATATCTTCACCATTGATGTTGTCGTCAGCATCATCATCACTTCCCTGCCCATCCACAAATGATGCACCGTTGTGCAAATACCTACCATCTTCCTGTATAACCAGTACAGGAGCATTTGAGGAGTTCCCAACATTCACACCTGCATTGACATAATGCCTAGATACAACAGCATTTGATGTTGATGAAGTACGATAAGCGTCACATATGGATTGCTCAATGTATATCTCAAGCATTGACATGTCCTCCATCCGAACTATGCCCCACATATTTGTTATAGCTAGCTCATCAGTGGGGGGTATAAGCATGTACTTTCCCCCGTTCATGGGAAATTTCATTTTCAAACGCAAAGAACGACTAGGATGAATCATTGTGGCTGTATGTATTTTTTGAAGGATCTCGAGCATGCAAGCACCACGACAAACCATGACAAATGTGGTTGTACCACCTTCATGGCATATTTGACCAGCATCCTCATAATAGTTCCCTCCCCAATGACACACGATTGGGAAGCTTGAGAAATCCATATTCTAATAATAATTCAAATATATCCAAAAGTCAAGATTCACAAACAACTCACATTTCAATATGAAAATACCCAAATTTTGATATCTACATTCAAGTCTACAATTCAATACCCAAATTTAGCTACATTCAAATCCACCAAAATGCCCAAATGTCAAAATACACTTTAAAATTTACAATCAATTTCAAATCAAATTTCAACATTTCATAATCTAAAAATTCGAAAATTTTAACATTCAAAACCCTAAGTTAAAAATGAGATGAAATGGAGTTTGATTTACCTACAAGAAAGAAGAAAGAGTGTTGGAGATGAAGATGGAGGTTTGCCGGAGTGGGTCGCCGGATATGGAAGTTCGCCGGAGTTGGAAATGGCTCGGTCGTCGTTCGTCGTTCGTCCTTCGTAGCTGCTACTTAGGGGATTTGGGGATTGAGTTTCGTTCGCAGTGTTCTGTTTTGTGGCTGGTCGTTGTTTTTACTTAATGGAAAGTCACCCAACGGTTGGCTGACTTATAAGTCGCCCAACCGTTGGGCGACTTACCTCCGACCACAGGTTAACCCAGCAGTATATTGGTAAATACTTTTAACCCAACCCTATTTTCGTAATTAATTAATTAATTAACATTAATTCGAAAAAAACTCATTTATGTAAAGTAATTTAGTAATTAGATTAATTGTTTTCATTAAAATCAATGTTTTATTTCTTATAATCCACATTAGACAAATTACATTTCGACTTGTCTGCAATTACATTTCTTATTAGCGTGAGTTACATTTTTTACACGCGATTTACATCATTCTACTACTGGGATATTGAAAAAAACAAAAAAAGTTTTTGTTCACGCGCGTGAAGAGTAACACGTCTTTTTTATGTTGGAGCAGCATGGTCACCGTGGGCTGCTCCCACGGTATAACAACTGCAAACAAACTAAAAACAAAGTAAAAAGTCTAAAGAAACACAAATAAAGCTGGAAAGTAATATAGAATAATAAATCATGTGTGGCCAAAAGTTCAAATTTGAGGCGTCGTCTTTCAAATCTAGCCACACGATCTCTTCATAACGGCGACTTTCACATAGACCAACAATTTTGCATCTTCTTCCTCATCCTACTCTTTGTTAATCACGTTTACTGCCAGGCCTTCACTTTTGGCACCAAAAGCACACCGCCAAACTCCAATCGCTATCTCCGTTGCCGAAATTGAATCCTGAGCAAATAGGTTGACTCGCTAGAATCTATCCAAGCACCAAAGCTGCCAAATTTGTTACTGTCAGTGACGGTGTCTAGGAGGGGAGTCATCATTGTTCAAAAGTGTTCATGAACACCCAAAAATTTGAAGAAAAAAATGTAAGCACACATGGATAAATTTAATGTAATAATGTATTATTCTTTAAATTCGTGATTGTGAAAAAAATTGAACACCCAAAATTGAAATTCAAAATACGTCAGTGATGTACCCCCAAAACACTATATAAAGCTAGATCTGTCAACTCCTAGGTTTTTTCTCCTTCGTTCTCTTCTCGCCCCTATCCAAGTAGTGTTAATCAATAATTTAAAATATGATCAAATTACTCCATGAATAAAAAGTGCATCACTGTGATCATGTTTTTCAACTTATCGGATTTATCAATCAACTTTTTCATCATTGTTTCGCGCACATAATTATGTTATAATAAGAAAAAGTAAGGTTGAAGTTACTTTTCTAGCTGTATTGGCTGAAGTTACTGTAGATGATCATTTTAGCCAATGTTTCATATAATTTTTTCTTTATTTTATTAATAAAACACGTTTTAAATATAACTTTTTCAAAAATCAACAGAATCAGTCAATCCATTCACTTCAGTCAGAACTTCATAAATTTTAACAGAATCACCCGTTTCAGCCAATTTCAGTGTTATCAAACGGGCTCTAAATTATACTTGTACAAGTTAGAACTATAACCTTAATTTTTCTAATTACTATACATTTCTGCGCACGAAATTAAAAGTTACGTGTTTGATGAAAAAGTTGATTACTAAACGAATAAAAGTGTTACCAAACGAGTTCTAAAACTTACTTCTCCAATTTATTAAGGAAAGGAGAGATCTATCTCATTTTTTTTTGGAAAAAAAATAAACAAATTTGTTTATTTTTCCTTTCGATAGTTTTCCTGCAAAAAACAAACAGCCCATTAATTTTCGTGGGAGTCCCTCGGATTGATTTTTTTCGAGTTTGGTTTGTCATGTTCCCAAAGCACACAGTGGGTTTCTCTATCGCACACCAGACGGGATGGGTCTAATAGACGCGCCCACACGAGCCGATAACGGGTTTAGTTCACATCTCCACGGCGCGGTTAATGGCCAGATCGCCGGTAACGGAGTAGTTCAGTCTCATGCGGAATCCAACGGAGCCTCAACCGAGAATGAGGTGTTCAAAAGGAGGAAGTCGAGCATGCTACCGCTTGAAGTCGGGACGCGCGTGATGTGCCGCTGGAGAGACGGCCAGTATCATCCCGTGAAAGTCATCGAACGCCGGAAAGTACCATCTGTCGGAAACAATGACTACGAATACTACGTTCACTACACAGAATGTATGCAATTTTTAAAGTCTGCCTGAATACTCTTTTCCATTTTCAGTTGGCAATTTTGATATCTAGGGTTTTCATCCTCAATGATTTTTCGTGATGGGGATATTTGACCTTTTGAACGGTGACTTTACGGTACTACGTTCACTGCAGAGAGTCTGAGCATTTGGGGAAGGCTTCCTCACTAATTTCTCTCTCTTTTCATCATGCTATGTTGAAATTAAGAATTTGTTTTCCTCAATAAGGAGGCGTTTTGTACTTTTGTAGTCATCCCCATTTCTTTTCACGTGTATAGTTATGAACTTCCAACATCATGTACCTATTTTTATTATAAAGTTGTATTTAAATTCACTGAAAGACCACGCTGTTTAAGTTTATCAATGGTTTGTCCTTTCCCGCAGTCAATAGGAGACTTGATGAATGGGTTAAGCTTGAGCAGCTTGATCTGGATTCTGTGGAGACTGTTGTGGACGAGAAGGTGGAGGACAAGGTGATTTTTTGGTTTTTCTTCTTTGTTACTTTCTATTAGTCTTTCTCCCTAACCCCCATGCCCTTTTTCTGATAAAATGAAAAAGCTAATTAACATAAAATTGATATATGGTCTAGAATATTTTTACTTGGACTGAAATTTGCCGGTCTGGTCTATTTAAGTCTGGTCTTTTTAAGTCTGGTCTGAAATGGTCTGGTCTGATCTGAAAAAAGTCTAAGTAAAAACATCCTTAATGTGGCTCGTTTGGTAGTTTACGTGTTAATCTTTTCACGCGAAATGATTGCGTGTAAAGTTTAGGGAAGTAATCACTTTGTACGTAAAATAGATTACATTGTTTGCCTAGATGTGTAATTTATTTTAATTTGCATGCAAAGACATTGCAGTGCTTTATAAAAAGCATGCAAAGTATTTTACCACCCCCACGCGAAATACTTTACATGATACAATGCAAAATGTTTTAAAAAAGTGCCTCAACTTCGCATGCAAAGTAGTTACTTTACATCCTACCAAACACGCTCTTAATGTAAAGATTGCCATTTATTTCGGTGTTTCCTTGCGTGTGTGGTTGATTTTTGTTAAGTGTCACTGTGTTAGCCTCCTGCTAGGCATCTAGTCTAGTAAGTATTTGGTTTCCTTTCTTTAATGTTTTTGCTTCAAAGTTTCTTACCTAATCTTTTCAGGTAACAAGCTTGAAAATGACACGCCATCAAAAGCGTAAGATTGACGAGACACAGGTGGAGGTAATTGTTTATCAATCCTTCTGGTGCAATTCCTCTAGTAGTTTGAGCACTATTTCTGTTGCTTTGTGTCTTACTTTTTTCTATCATTTGCCTCGCCTAATTAGTTCAAAAACCAGCTCTAGCAAGTTACTCAAGCTTGCTTCACCATTTAACTGATAACTAGTATTACCTGAATTAGTAAAATTGTGTGGCTATTTATTTGGAGAGAATTACCATGAGCTGCATGCTTCTTTCTTGAAAAGGAAAGAACCTTAATTCACAATTTGAGATGGACAGAAAAAGGAAAACACGAGCCTTTTGGGATAGTGGGAGTGATCAATATTGATCATGATAATATATCGAGTGTTAGTATAAAGTATTTCACATCTCTGTAATATATGATTGTGTGACATGTAGGTGCATGTAATGGTTATATTAACAGTAATTACTAGTTTGGTGATAAATGGAGTGATTGGTAGCTTAAGAAAGCTTACTTGTATGCAATTCAATAGTAAAAATTGAAACTACAATTATATAGTTCTCATTTTGGCTACAGAAGCTCAAGCTTACATTTAAATTAGCAAGCTAAGCTCTACCAATAAGGATTGCTTGAAGAGTGAATGGAGTAATGATTAATGAATGAATCTCACCTCAATGTGGTTAGTCTGTTTGGTTGAGATTTTAGAGTCCAAACATTCCTACGTTCAGCTTATCTTGTTCACACCCCTTAATTATTAACACCGTAGCTATTAGAGAAGTTAGTTGTTCTCTTTTATAGCTGTGATGCTGTCTACATGCTTCTGTCGTCTATGATCTGTCGTCCATGAGTGTGATAGATATTGGAGCAAGCTAATTTGTTACTTTAAAATTGCCATTTTAAAATTATTCCGTAAATACAAAGATTTGGTTTGTTACTTTTTTTTTCTGTACTCATCTAGAACTTCATTTAGCTGTTTCTATCCTTTGACGGTTTCTGTTGTATAAAAGATGTGAAACATCATATTTTTATTCTTTTAGGGTCATGAAGAACTTGACGCTGCTAGCCTGAGAGAACATGAAGAGTTCACAAAAGTTAAGAATATTGCAACGATTGAACTTGGGCGGTATGAGATTGAGACATGGTATTTCTCCCCATTTCCCCCAGAATACAATGATTGTACGAAGCTGTTCTTCTGTGAATTTTGTCTCAATTTCATGAAGCGAAAAGAACAACTTCAGAGGCATATGGTGAGTTAGTTGGATCATGCACCACTGATGGCAATTTAGTAATTAGTTGTGGTTAGCTAGGGATATTTAATAAATATAACAACAATTGAGCTGTAATGCCAAGCTGCTATTGTTGGGTACATGAACTAAGATATAATCTACCAAGACCATCCAACCATACTTTCACCTTCCACCCTTTCTGTCACAAGACCATATGCTCAGCACCCTAATGGCGTTACGCTCAATCTCAATTCGAGTATTTTTTGTGTGCAATAGTTCTCATTAGATCACCAACATTACTATGCTTGTCACTCGGTATTTGGGCACTTTCCCCTCAACAACAGACAGTGTCCTAACATAAAAAAACATAGTTGGTTCAGCCCTAACTTATTTTTCAAAGGCTGCCACAGCCACGACCATATGAATCTCTCTATCATTAGCTCTATATTCTCTAATCTCTAGTCATACATTACATCCATCTCAACACATACATCTTTCATATATTCACATTCATTAAATTCTTCCTAATAGGCTAATATCCTGATCCATAATGAAGTGAATCATATTTGGGTCTTCAGAGTTTTTCTCCAGCCTTAGCAAAGGCTACCATTTTTTTTATAATAGATATTAGTATAAAAAACAAGCATTCTTTACCTGTTTTATCGATTTCTTCTTCTATAATTTATACGTAAAAGTTTAAATTGATCACAGTTCACAAGATGGAGCATATTGAACTGACCTTCATTTATCTGTTGTGTAGAGAAAATGTGATCTGAAGCATCCTCCTGGAGATGAGATTTATCGAAGTGGTACCCTGTCAATGTTTGAGGTTTGCTCATAAGTTTTCGTGCTTTTGGCTGCGCTGGAGCATTTTCCTTAACTTAATAACGATAGTCAAGTTTACATTGTAACTTAAGGTTGTCAAGTTCACATGGTCTCCTATATCATTAAGGTTGTCATTGCAGTTGTTTTTTGGATAGCTGTGCTTCATTACATTTATGTTGTAATACAATGTTCCAGACTCTTCGTATTTATAGATCACTTGCTTGTTTTTAAGGCTCTGTACTTTTGAGGAACTCATAATGCACTGTACTAACGTTCTGGCATTGGATTGGCCTAATCAGGTTGACGGAAAAAAGAATAAAGTTTATGGACAGAATCTGTGCTACCTGGCAAAGTTATTTTTGGACCACAAGACCCTTTACTATGATGTTGACCTCTTTCTCTTTTATGTACTTTGTGAATGTGATGACCGTGGGTGCCATATGGTGGGATATTTTTCAAAGGCAAGTACTCATTTCCAGAGTTCATATCCTTTAATTTTGCTTCTTCATTGTTTTAATGATCCCCTCGCTTAGACCCATTGAGATAGAGTTAGAGAGTGAGAGAGAGTCTCAGTAGTTCTTTTGTCTTCCATTGAGGCTCTTCAGAAATTGCATATAATGAGACATTTAGCCTGCGTTTAAAAGCTGTAGAAAGCCCAATAATGAGATCCAAGATCCAGAAATTCAACGTTTAGTCATTTACATTAACGTGGCAATAGATCTGCCAAGATTATTGTGTATGAGTTAGCAAAATACCTAAGATGCATAAAGGGGGTGTGGGGTGAATCTACATTGTCTGTTTTGCAAGGGATGCAGCGATTCACACCCAACTCATCTTGTTTAGTCCGGCATTGATGTTTTTAATTGCTCATCTATAGCGAATTAGTGATTCTTTGGATCTAAAATACACTAAGGGGCTGTTCACTTTTTTTCTTTATTAAGTCTTGTCTAGATTAAGATGTCTGTCTGAATTAAGATGCATTTTTAGATAAGTGGCATTTGTACATGGGGCTGTTTATTTTGTTTAGGATGAATAGTTTGAATTGAGTAAAATAAGCAATTTAGTATTACTCTTGGGTTATTATGTCAATAAGAAATTTCATTTATTTACATAAATCTATTCCATTATCGATTTTAAAAATTGATAGAAAAGACATCTTAATAGGCGTCTTAATGGGATTATATTCCAGCTTAATGATTAAATCAGTTTTTTGACCGAATGATTAAGTCGTGCTTTTAAATAAGTCGTAAGTAAACATGACTTTATGGCTGAACAATTAAGTCGTTATTTTCATGAAGTCCATTAAGTGGAAAGTAAACAGCCCTTAAGAGTCTTAAGGTCTTAATCTAAGACCTTATATGTATGGGCTAGCATAATACCTTAGATGCATAAAGGGATGCATAATACCTTGTATTGTCTGCAAACAACCCCGTAGTCCTTGTTTTCCAAATCGTATACACTGTGCAGATCAAAGCAATTCCAACAGCTTTACTCATCAGCCTTGCCCCTCTAAAGTCCTTTCTTAAATCTCCACTGCACGGTTTAGAGAAGACACTGGCCGTCTAACTCCTTGCCATATGCAAATATTTTTCCAAATACACTCGGTCACTGGACACTTTCAAAAGAGGTGATCGACTGTCTCCAACTGTCCAGAACACATTGAACATGCCTTATCCCCGTCTAAGAAGCACAAGTTATCAGTAGTGGGTAATTTGTTCCTGAAACAATGCCATAGGATAAAAAAGAATCTAGGAGGTGTGTAGCTTTTTCAAATTAACCCCCTCCAAGGCTTGAAGACACCTCTTACACTCTATTTCAACATTCTTTTAGAATGATATTTACCCTTACCTTATAATGCGAATACTTGAACTCCACAGAATCTTATTTGCCCCGTTTGAAGTGAGTTGCATCGGTTTTCTTGTGAAACATGATATTTACTCCTGGAAAAAGCAAATGTTATACATGGTTGAGTATTTGACTATTTTTCTCATCATTAACCTCTGGAGTTGGTCAATATGGCTAACCAGATATGTTTAAGTGAGTAGAATAGCAGTATCATCTTTATCACTTTGCATGGTGATGCTGAAATAAAATAGGAGTCTAATATGAGATACTTGAAGGTCTGCTGAACTACTAATTATGAGTTTGGAGACTATTTACTTATTATATGTCTGACATTTGAGGAAAAATGTTTTTAGGAAATCCTTCATTTTGCCTCGCATCCTGACTCTCTCACTTGTGCTCATGATTTGATTGATGTTTCAGGAAAAGCATTCCGAGGAGTCCTACAATTTGGCATGTATCCTTACTCTGCCACCTTATCAGAGAAAAGGATATGGGAAATTCTTAATTGCATTCTGTAAGCACTTGAAAGTCTTTGCTTTTTTGTTGCATTCTACTCCTCTGATTGTGACAGCATTTAGTGTTTTTTAATCAAAAGTGGATACATTGGTGTCTCTGTACCTGTGTAATGTGACCTTCTATCCGCATCTCATTAAAACGTAGCATCATTATCTTTTAACCAAGTACAGGACATTGATTTGGGAATGTAATTTTCTAGGCTGATCTGTTTATGTTTGCTTTGGTGTTTTTATGTCTGATTTGGTCTGGTCTAGTTTGACATGTGTACTTTGATATTATTTATTGTTTTGAATTGATTTCTTCTGATACGTCTTGTTCAAGTTTAGTCTTGTCAGTTCTGGTAAGGGGACAAAATAAGTCTAAGTTAATAGGTCCTAAGACAGTTAAAGTCTGAATTAACAAACTACATATTCCTATCCTTAGCCGTCCCCACCAAAAGAAATATCATTTACGGATTGTTTAAGCAAAACAAAAGGAAATTTCAATTACAGATTTTAAATCAAAACAGTTTGCAACCTTTTATGAATGCAACTGAGTTGGGTATGTTAATTGAAAAGTAATGAATACACGAAAAAATTGCCATCTGACTCTTTAGTGTTACAAATTACGTTGTAATTTTAGGGGTAAGACAAAAAAGGAGCACCAAAGCATCCATTGTGTAATGGATATGACATAGGTCTTCTAACCTTTGGTATAGGCTCAATTCCTATTGGACTCATTTTTTTATAAATCTGTTATTGTAGTTAATAGATTTATCTCCATTAAATAAAATCATTTTGGGATTAAAATCCTTTTTTTATTGTTGTAGTTAAATCAAAATTTGATTCTCTTTTTCTCTCTTTATTGTTTTTAACTTTTACTTCATATATCGATTCATATTAGTCAACCCCAAATACTTTAGGTATTGTTTTATGTAAAGTTTGATCAGTATATAATTAAAGGTTTTCCTGAAGTAGAAACCAATCCTTTTGGTCAAGAATAGCTTCTTTCGAAAGGGCTTCTGCTTCCTCCATAAGTGTCTTGGTAGACGATATGATTTCTTGGAATTAAGGTTTATTATTTTTTAAGCAGGTTATAAAACTCAAGAAGAAATTTGCTGATCTGTCCAAGTTCTAATTTTCTTGTGGTTATGATTAGGGTGTTAAATTCAATGCCATTATGAACAGTCGTGCAAATAATTTATTTCTCTCAACTTCTTGCAGCATATGAACTTTCTAAGAAAGAAGGTAAAGTCGGAACGCCAGAAAGACCCCTTTCTGACCTAGGTATGCTAAGCTACCGGGGATACTGGACTCGCGTCCTCCTGGACATATTGAAAAAACATAAAGGCAACATTTCCATCAAGGTTAGTTTTGTAGTGAGGATAAAAACATAATATTTCGTATATGCAAACCGATATTTATTTTTACCATAAAAACGAGTTTGTGTGTGATTGAGGTATATACCATATGGATGCCAAAATAAATAAAAAGTACAGCAGAATGCTTCATGCATTGAAGCATTCAGCAGAATGCCATATGAATGGCTCACTAAACTGTCTGCGCTTCTTTGTTATGAAGCATCAGTAAGTCCATGCAATTTTCGATGCGATTTTCACCACGGGTCATCCAGAGACAGTCTCTCTGTGCTTTAGTACATGGGTAAGACTGTGTACATCCGACCCCCTTACCCCACTGTAGGTGGGAGGCTTTGCGGCACTGGGGCAGTGATTATGATGATGAATGGTATTCTGAAAAAAACTTAAAGGAAGTGTTTTATCCAATTGATTTGGTTTGTAGGAGCTTAGTGATATGACTGCAATCAAGGCAGAAGACATTCTAAGCACCCTTCAGGCCCTGGAGCTAATTCAGTACCGAAAGGGGCAACATGTCATCTGCGCAGACCCTAAAGTCTTGGATCGACACCTAAAGGCTGCTGGCAGAGGTGGTTTGGAAGTGGATGTCAGCAAACTGATATGGACTCCATATAAAGAGCAGAGCTGATTTTAAGAATAGCACTCCCTTTAGCACCCATTTCTCTCTTTTAGGAAGCTATGTACATGGTTAGGTGTAACATACCGACTCTCTTGCTTCAAGGTATAAGACCTATGTACCTATATACTTTATGTCACGACTACAGCACTGAATGTGGTCTATATTCTTGCATGATTGAAATCCTAGTTTTTCCGTGACATAATTGTTCCTGTTTTTATCTCAATGATTTGGTGGTTGGTGTATCCGATTTAAAGTCATTTTTTTTAATTATTTCTGCACTCCTTTTTTTCCCGTAAGACCTGCACTTTCTTTCAATCGAGTGTAACGTTAGTTTTAACCTTATATTTGCCGTTTTAATGGAATCTACAACTCTTTTTCTTAGTTTTGTGATCGGGTCATAATTAGATTAGGACTAGGGGTGGACCTGGGCTGGTTCACTAAATTAAGGGCCCGTACCCGGCCTGCCCCAATCCCCCAACCGGCCCTAGGCCCGGAACCGGTTACCCTAGACCGGGCCGGTCCGGGCCCGCACAGTAGCGGCACAGGCCGGTTCACGGTCCGGGCGGCCCGGGCCCGATCCATCCCTAATTAGGACATTGTTGTCGAATAAGCCTTGGACTCCCATGGGACCCCGCAACTGAGACCACTGGCAAGTTGGTCATAATAGCCTACCCATTGTGGTTCATATATGTGAGAACTGGGTAGTTCTAATCCCAATGGTCAATTTACTGTTTTTCCTTGTAGGTTTTTGCAACACAACAGAGTGACAGACTGATCGATCTACAACATGACAAGTGATGTTTTATACCATGGGAATCACTCATCTTATAGGCAGCGCTCTCATCTAACTGTGTATATCTAACTCTGACATTTCCATCTTTAGTGTTGCACTTTTTATTTGTATCAACAGTTTTATGCATGTACTGGACATGTATTTCAATTAAATATCTGCTTTGGATGGTTAAGTTACTTAAGTATGATTTGTTAATTATCGATCCTAACTTGAGTTTGCGGCATGAACCTTTTTAAGTGTAATCTAATAGCCTTAAGAAGCTTGACGAATGATGAACATAAATTGAACTAAGATACAAATTATAAGATTAAAAAACTTTTCCAAGGGAGAATTCCGCTTACATATTCTTTGTTAGTGCAAATTAGGGGTGGACTCGGGTCCGGGTCGGGTCCGGTTCGCGGGCCGGCGGTTCAAGAATGGTGGACCCGGGACCGGCCCGGGTAGCCACTGGGTCCGGTCCGGGTCCGGGCCGGGCCGAGCCGAGCCTCCGGTTTGGATTTTTTTTTGCTTTCCTAACCCACCCCCCTCACCCCCACCCTCCCAAACCCCCCAAACCCATCCTACCCATCAAGCCCAACCCGGGTGGAACCCCAAAAATGAAAAAAAATAAAAAAAATTCAGTTTGGCCCGGGCCTGGGCCTGACCCGGCCGGGCCGGTTCACCAAAATTGAGACCCGAGCCCGGACTCGCCCTACCCCTCGGGCCTAGGCCCGACCTGGACCCGAGAATCGGGCCGGTCCTGGTCCCGCACAGTAGCGGGCCGGGCCGGTCCACAGGCCGGGTGGCCCGACCTGAGTCCAAGCCTAGTGCAAATAAGTGGAATTAGACTTTGTGCTCCATTTTTCAAAACAATCATGCTTTGTGTACATGCGGCTAGTATTGCAGTCTTGCAGATAGGGGTGGACTCGGGTCCGGGTCGGGCCTAGGCCCAGGCGGGCCAACGGTTCAGGAATGGTGGACCCAGGACCGGACCGGGTAGCCAACGGGTCCGGTCCGAGGCCGGACCGGGCTGGGCCTCTGGTTTGGATTTTTTTTTTGCTTTCCTAACCCCTAGGGATGGACCTGGGTCGGTCCGGTTCCGGTTCCGGGCCGGGCCCGGGCGGTCTTTTTTTGCAAAATGTTGGGTCCGGAACCGGCCCGGGTTGATAACGGGTCCGGGCCTAACCCCCCCTCACCCCCACCCCCAAACATCCCTAAAACACCCAGCCCTACCCTAGGAAAAGAAAAAAAAATTGGAAAAAAAATATGACCCGGGCTCGGCCCGAACCGCCCGGGCCGGCTCGCCCAAAACTGGGCCCGACCCCGGCCCGCCCAACCCGCCCAAACGGGCTAAAAGCCCGGAACCGGCCAATCGGTCCCGGTCCGGTCCAGGCCCAAACAGTAGCGGTTCCGGGCCGGCCCAGTCCATCCCTACTAACCCCCCCTCACTCCCGCCCTCCCAAACCCCCCCAAACCCATCCTACCCATCAAGCCCAACCCGGGTGGAACCCCAAAAAACAAAAAAAAAATAAAAAAATTCAATTTGGCCCGGGCCTAGGCCCGACCCGTCTGGGCCGGTTCACCAAATTTGAGACCCGAGCCCGGACCCGCCCAATCCCCCGGGCCTAGGCCCGACCCGGACTCGGGCCTGAGAACCGGGCCGGTCCCGGTCCCGCACAGTAGCGGTCCGGTCCGGTCCACGGGCCGGGTGGCCTGACCCGAGTCCAACCATAATTGCAGATTGTAAAGAGAATTGGTTTTTGTTTGTGCAGTTCATCTGAAGAATCAATTTTTGTAGTATATTATTTAATAGAGTTTAATAGAGTTTGAACGAATTGGGGGTTGAAAACTTGATGTAATGTCCAAACCATATATCCACAACCTTCATTCTAAAGATGGCCGGTACAACTGCATAAGAACTATCATTTAACTTGAGTCTCGATTGCATAAGGGATGATGCATATTGCACATCTATTCTTAGACGAGCAGCTGGATCAGTAGATCATAAAATAAACACCACTCACATTGAAAGGATGCATTATGAGAAAATCTACTTCAACTGCTCTTAGCATCTTGTTGAGTATGTTGTTTTGTTGATGACTAACCATGCTGGTGGAACCGCGGACAGAACCGCTCACAGTTCCTTACGGAACAAGGACAGAACTATCCTCAAGACCAAATGGGTATTATTAGTGTGTTGTTGACTAACCATGCAGGTGGAACTAATGCAGAATCATTTCTAGTTCCGTGATATGATTTGAATTAATATTAATTGCACCTACTTGATTTTCAATTAATATACTTTCCTTATATGAGTGCTTATATTTGTCAAGAATATTCTTTTAAGCAAAAGTATATTTCTATGCATGTCCACTCTATATATACGTATTTTGGTTATATGAGTACTTATTTGGGTGTTATTATCTTTCCATAGTTGACTAGACATCCACTCAGTAAATATTATTTAAATACTTTATGGAAAGTATCTTTACTTAATGTGAGTGCATGATCCATATTTTATTGGCTATATACGTAGCATGCTTGTAATTGATTAACAAATATTTTATTGCCTTACAATTTGAAAAGTCATTCTTTATTTGAATATCAAATGAATATTTGTGGAGCAAAGAATCATGATTTACGTGGCAATAATTAAGCTTGATTGTATATATTGATAAGTTAACCTTTATGGAAAGGAATCCTTGCTTTTAATTACTTTGTGACCGTAGCATGATCTGTACTCCTTTGGTTTGAAAAAGGTGATCATTAGCTATATGTGTAAAAGGAAAGTTACATTTGAAATATTACACGTTGCCCATGCATATCTATATTTGCTAAGTAATCATTGCTACCTTCCACTAAAACTATTTTAATAAAAGGTGATTGCTCGATTATAATATATGTGATCCATCCTTTTATATGGACTGATATTAATGATGACAATATCCGAGAGTTATGGTGCTCAAAATAGAAGGAAAGTGATTCAAAAGTATCAAGGCAAGACCACAAGTTTTAAGATCAATTATTTATGGAAGGCTGCCCAACGGACTACTCCAAGACAGCTATATATGCCGAAGATCAATAGAAGAATGGTGTGCTTGACCAAGCTTCTATTGAGAAATATACACGAGAATATTTACTAAGTCCAAGGCACCTGAACCTGCTCACGGAGTTCCAGACAGAGTTTCTTTTTCCCTTCTTCATATTGTAATTGGGTTTTTGAGGATTGGTTAAGTGTAGCATCCTCGGGTTGGTTAGTGTGTTGTGAGAGCTTTGTTATAAAGCTGAGAGGCTCTCTACCCGCAAGGTAGAGATGCATAACTCTTCCTAGAGAGGATAGAGTTGGGGTGGCTCAAGGGTAGACTAGGAGAGTTTCCCTTGTAATCATTCAAAGGCTTTTTAGTGGAGTTGTTCAAATTCCTCCGAGAGAGGTCAAGGTTTTTTAATCCCTTTGAGCCAAAGGATTTTTCCTCGTTAAATCCTTGTGCACTTTATTATTTCGTAATTCTCTGGACCCCACACTAGAACTGTGCGAAAAACTGCCACGATTCCACACACACACAATTCACCCCCCCTCTTGTGTTGCTAACCGTTTCATCAATTGGTATCAGAGCCGGTCTTCGCCACATAAAGGTTAATACCTTGGGAAGAGATCCGGCAACATGAATACGGTTGAACGATTGGAGGAAGGATACTCGACTCAACGATCACCGTTGTTCAACGACAAATTTTATCAATTCTGGAAGAGTCGAATGGAGAACTTCATCAAGGCTGAGAACTACCAGGTATGAAATGTAATTGAGGTAGGCGATAACATCATCACTAAGGAGGATGCCGAAGGTAAGGTTATCCCTAAACCCAAATCTGAATATACTTCTGATGATTATCGTAAACTCGAGCATAATGCCCAAGCATTGAAATATTTGATTTGTGGACTTGGTCCGGCTGAGCACAACCGGGTTCTTGGATGCAAATCCGCAAAACAAATGTGGGATTTACTCGAGGTTACGCATGAGGGTACCTCACGTGTAAAAAGATCCAAAATTGACATATTTATGCGTAATTACGAATTGTTCGTGATGAAACCTAAAGAGTCAATTAGGGATATGATTACACGCTTTACTAATATTATAAATGAGCTTTCAGCACTTGGAAAAGATATTACTGTGGAAGATCAAGTGAGAAAAGTTATGAGAAGCTTGCCCTCCGCATGGAAGCCTAAAACTACGGCTATAGAAGAAGCTAAAGATCTCTCTACCATGACGCTAAAAGACTTGACCGGTTCACTCATGACATATGAGCTAGGCCTACAAGAAGAACAAGATGTCGAAAATGTGAGAAAGGAGCGAGGAATAGCTCTCAAGGCTCGAGAAGAAGAAGAAGAACCCGAAAGTGAATCGGAAGAAGAAATGAGCATGTTCGCCAAGCAATTCGGGAAGATGTACCGGAAATTCAAAGGCGACCGAAATAAGCAAGGTAAAAAGGGTTTTCAATCGTTTAATAACCAAGGTTGTTTCGTTTGTGGTTCCTTTGAGCACATGGCAAAAGATTGTCCCCAAAAGAAAAATGATAGAACCTACGACAAGAACAAGACCAGTTCCCATCGGAGGTCCAGTGAAGATAAAGGGTTCAACAGAGACCCCAAGAAGGCAATGATGGCAGCTTGGGGAGAATCATCCGATGATGATGAGGAAGAAGGTGAAAAGAGTTCCAATCATGCAGGGTTGTGTCTTATGGCTAATTCCGACGAGGAATCCGACCAAGAGAGTTTCGAGGTAAATTTGGAAAACTTTCTATCTAAGTTTGATTCTTTGTCTAAAACCAAAGTTCGGAATATTTTTAAAAGGCTAACTATCGAGCTTAACCAAAATCTTTTTGAAAATAAAAATCTAAAATCACAAATCACTGAGCTAGAATCTAAACTCGAGGAAACCACACGAGCAAAGCTAAGACTTGAAACTAAAGTGGGAGAGTTAATAGATGAGAAGCTAAAATACAGTGAAGTGGTTTTAGAACAAGACAATATTATCTGTTCTTTAAAGCTCGATAGCATGAACCAACAAGTTGATCAAAGCGAGAAACTTCTTTCGAAAATTCCGAACATTGGTGTGCTGATTGAACACCTTAATCGCCTTGAGGCTGAGAGACAAGATTTCAAAAATAAGCCGGAATACCAGCCGTATAGTACTAAAGAAAGAACCAGGTCTAGACCCTATTCTAGAACTGAACCTTCTCGGTACAA